AATACTGAGATATAAATAAACCGATCGTATTACCAACAACTACACATACTTTCAACTATCACTTATGACAGCTTCTGCATATAAAACGTGCTACAACATGAACAAGAGTGACAGTGATATTCCATAAAATTGCATTAGATGGGATATGTTATGTACTTGTAATACTGAGATATAAATAAACCGATCGTATTACCAACAACTACACATACTTTCAACTATCACTTATGACAGCTTCTGCACATAAAACGTGCTACAACATGAACAAGAGTGACAGTGATATCCCATCTAATTGCATTAATTAGATAAATGCCTTATTTGCAGTAGTTTCAAGTAATAATTCAGGGTGTGTGGTATCCATATTGCTTGATAAGTTCTTTGCACATTTTACATGCATATCTAATTTGATATAAAATAATTAAATGACTACAATAAACAACACAGTTTCTTCCCAGATAAGTACAGATTTCCCAGTACAATGTATAGCAAAAGAAGGAAATTAAATTACATCTTCAGTAAATTTCACAAAGTTGCAGAACCTAGGGGGTTGGCCAGTGTTCATATTCAGGCAGGTATTGCACCTAACCACTTTACAATGCAAGTAAATTTTTTGAGCCTTCTTCAGTCATCTCTATTGACAGAACTTGCAAAAACCATGAAGAAAATTGTTATAGAGCTGGGGAACCAAATTTAATTTTGTGCAACATGTGTTGCTGCTATCCTGTTTTGTATGGAAATTTGGATGGGGGATATGAATTTTATTCATTTATAGCCTAGAAACTAGTGCAAAATCTGTCATACTGATGGGTAATTCAAATTCCAGATATCAAAAAAAGCTCAAACTTCTATTCATAATTTGAAGAAAAAAAAGTAATGGAAAGCTTTATTTGGGAAATCACTCTAACAGATATTTCTCCCTGACTCACAGACTGGGTGTGAAATAAAACTTCCTTAAATTGTAATATTTCTTTACTTGCATTAACTTGCTATTCACAGGCTTGGTCAAATGTATTGACCCCTTATCTGTCAAACTACTTAATAATGTTTACTATAGTTCTGAATTTATTTTGTGTATCTTTAAAAAAATTTGGTATGCTTTTAGTGAACATTAAAAGCCTGTTGTACACAAAAAAAATTTAATTTTTTAAAGTATTTATACTAAAGATTTTCCTATGAATTTCTGAAGCTGTTACTGAGTCAATTTGAGTGAAAAATGATTTACGTGCTAAGAATAAAAATATTTCTTTTCATCTTATTTTCATATTTCATTTGCATTACCTCCAGAATGTCCGAAACTTGTATCAAAAATTTTTTTCTGTAAAACATTATATTTTATCTCTCTATCCTGATATTAACCGTAGTGAAATCATTAATGTATAGGAAAATGAAAGGTACATAAATATGAAATAAAATTAATAAATCCATTTTTTTTATTCTTCACTGACTCCAGTATTGATCAGAATGAACCAAATTAAGTATGTTAAACAGCTTCATCTTCTAACCTTTTCATATCTACTTTCTTTTAATTTTATGGTTTTATTGCTGTGCTTTGAACTAACTACTATCAGACTACTGTGAATGAAAGGCAATAAATCACAGTGGAAGCCCTTTAGCTGTTTCCTATAAAGCTGACTGAAACCATGTTATTGTGGGATAATATGTTACATATGCTGAAGTTTTGTTAGGCTAAGCTGAGAAGTTTATAATTTTAATACTGTAGCTATGTTTGTTAAAAAATATATAAGAATAAAAAATTTACATAAAAAATAAGGATTTATAGTACTTAGTGTGTACTTGATGCAGCTTGCACTTGAGTAGATTTTGTTTTGTAAGCCTTGTTGAGTCTGACAAATTTGGGTGTCCAAAAATATTTTATGTAGCCTTCATGTATACATTTTAATTCTTTGAATTATTAAGTACATTTTCATGCCAAGTTTGTTGATACATATTGATAATAAGTTTTTTAATTAAATTTAAAATGTGATGCTGTAAAAGGTCATGATATGTACAAAAGAGCCAGGGCCAAATATGAAGGTTTAAAAGTTCATACATATTTTCAAGTTGGAATTGTAATAAACTAATTTCAAACAATATGTACAGAGGATTTCTGGTATTGCACTTGAGATGAGTACAGTAAAGCATCTTGTATGTTTTGAAATCCTATTATTTGGATTGATCATCCATCTGTGCCACTATTCTGTGATGAAAGACACAAAATGAGAACCATAATTGATGCTGAAAATTTCATTTTGGTTCAGTAAACATGATAAAGAGTAGTCATTGATGGATGTTGCGCATGTTTGGAAAATGCTGAAACATTATTATTTAGCACTAATCTTTGGATGAAAGTTACCTGTGGATGTTAAGAACTTTCTATTAAAGGTTTAATAGTTTTTAATAGTCATGTCATTTTGTATTAACATATATTCAGTTTCTTTTAATGTGATTAACTTTTTTATCAGCATTTCAAAGAATAACCCAAGAAAGAGTATATGTAAATTTTGAGGCAGGAGTCAGCTTCACAACTTTTTTATCAAAGGAATATTTGTTTCTCATGCCTTCCAAGGTTTCTCATTCAAAATTCAGGGCAAGTTATTTAAACAAAACCCGGTTTATATGGAACTGTTTAGATTTATGAATGGTAATGAGGTTGTTTCTCAGGTCTGTCAGTAGCTTACAACAGTGTCTACATTTTTGAAATATTATCTTGATTACACATAGCATTATTTCACTAAATTTCTGTAGTAAGCTATACATCACCTTGTTTACTACAAACCTTTTTTTCTATATTTGAGCACTAGATATTTAATAGAGTTTTCTTCTAGGCTTGAACACAAGCACAGTCATGTCATCAGCCATCAGCTCAGCCTCAATAAAAACTGGATTTGCGGCACCTACTGTTGATCGTTTGAGACAAGGCAAGTGTCTGTTGGACTGTTATATGTTAAAATAAATGAAGAAACAATGACGTTCTCATGCTATCATTATTATTTGGTTTAACCCTATTGCTATGGGTTTTCCTATGGTCAGGGTTCAAAAGGCATGTCATCACGTTTGTAGACTTACATTAAAAATTTTATGAATGTATGTCATTAAGTTTGGTCTCAAATTGTGGATTATAATTCAAGTTTTAGTATTATGCATTAATTAATTTCTTCATTTGAAACTAAATATTAAAACAAAATTCCTAAATATTGATTTTTGTGTGTGTGTCATGGGTATGTTGAATGCAGCTTTGGTTCAAATTAGATGTTTGTGATGTCCAAATACAAAGTATATAGTTTCTTATGAATTAGAAACTCAAATTACAGATATTGACAAGCCAGAATATAAAACAGAAACCTTCTATCTTTTCTATTTACTGAGATGTGACTATATTTAGCGAATCAAGCCTTATATACCTCTTCTATTTTTGGCAATACTTGCTTACGTACACCCACTTTGCTCCATCATGTGTTTATATCCAATCAAAAGCTCTTGCTTATTCAAGGTGTGTAATTTCCCAAGTATAGTCTTTTGTTTCCAATCTTGGAAGAAAGGAATAAGAGAAAATGGTGTGTGAAAAACAATATTTGTTTATACCCAAATATAGTTTAGTTAGTAAATCTGATAAATTACAGTGGACTTCTGTGATATTGGTAGAGTAATTTATAAACCAGTGTCTCAGCGTTAAATTTGAGAGTTTATGACTAAAAATCAAGTTCCTATATCCTCGTTGGGCACAACATAGACAATATTGTGTAGCTTTGCACTTAACAGAAAAACAGACAAAATTATTCCTGACAATAAGTATTCTTTTTAAAATGTTACGAATTATTTCAAACTGCATATATAGAACCTAAAAAAGTTATTTTGTTTTACATCCTCCACTTGCAAAGTTCAGCAAGGCTTAGCATGCAAGGTATGGCAAGTGATTATTATCTTTTTTTACAATCATAAGTAGTAGAGATTGTTTTCTATATTTCTTTTTTACTATTCTCTGTTTTGAGAATAATAACTGAAATTTAAGAACTTATTTGTAAATAGTAATAATATATATATATTTATATACACATGTTATGTATTATAACCAAAATGTGACTGTATTTTACAAAATATTGGTCCACTAGAACAAAGCCAAGACGGATATCTTTGCAAGTGACAGTTTTATGCTATATATGGTAACATGAGATGCACGTGAGCTGTGATTGTACCTTCTGTAATGTTAGTTGGACATGGCTGAAAGATCAATAAAACAAAAAATAATAAATATAAATAGCTATTTAGAATAAAAATTTGTGGTTTTATGTTACAACTTATAGTTATTCTAGAACAAAAAAGCATAACTTAAATATTTTTTCCTAATTTTTATCTACAGCATGGAGGCTCATAGAATGGTTCTGAGTTTGTTTGTTTCAAGAACAAAGTTTTAGCTCATAGCTTCGTCATCTCTTGATCAATTTGAGATCTAATTTTGGACTCAGGAAATAAAATCCTTTCAATTGATGTATTTGAATACTCCCAAGGTCACACAGATTGGTCTACTATAATTCTGCATAAAAGAATTTCAATGATGGTTACATGGTCAGTCAGTTCAACCAAACCTGTACAGAGATAAGATAGAGAAAATAACAGATAAAATTAAAAGTTTTTTTCAAAAAACGTTTGAAAAATAACTGGATTTTATTAGGAGGCTATAGAGATTTCACAAATGAAATGTGACAGTTTTCTGATGGATAAAAATATTTTTAATCCTAAAATCAAAACTACTTTGCATGTAGGATAGCCAACATTTGAAAAGAAAAAATGCAAGAGCAAATCTTTCATTAAAAAATCCTGTACTTTGTGCACAAAAGCCTTGGTATGTTTAATGACAATCTGCCAAATTTTGTGAAGATATGCATACTGTATTAAAAGTTATACTATGAAAATTATAACAAGCATGAGGTTGGTCCCAGGGACCAAGCCCATAGTGAAAGGGTTAATGAAAAGGACAGTTGTGTCCCTTAGATACTTTTATTTTGTTGAAATAGTAACAATCTAATTAACAACAACAAACTTTTTTCATTCAGTTTAGACAAACTATACAGTTATATGACCATAAGTTTCTTGACTATGTGTTTTAAAAACATATAGTAAAATCTAAAAAAGGATTAGCTTGAATTAAGATTTCATCATTAAAATTTAAAGGTACTAAATTAAATTTGGGTTAAACAAAGAAGACTGTATTAAACAAGTCTGCATATTTTGAGGTAACACTAAGTTTAAGCTATTTAATAATGAATCTACCACAAAAACAGAAAATGGACAAAAATAATGTTTAAATACTAAAAAATAGATGTTTTCTCAAAAACTGGTACCAATGAATAAAATGTAGACTTTAAATTGTTAGTAAGACCAATAATACTCTAAAATATTTACAGAAACGGTATCACTATATACTTAATAAATGGATCATGAGTCATAATTGTGTGTCTTATATGTGTAATATATATATATGTGGGGGAATATGTATATAGCTAATTAAATTTATAATGTGATTTTCAGTGTAACTTATTTCATATTACAACATTTGTAGTAGTTAATAACGGTACATTAAAATTATATAGGTGGATCAGTTTGTAACATGCAGACAGAATTATGATATTAAATGTCTCTGTAGATAAGTTTATTAAAAGTATATATAAACACTGATTTCTGTTTTTGTTTTAAAGAAACAGAAATTAATTTTATGATTCATACTAATTCTGAAGAAATAAAATAGAAAACTTCAAGGCTGACGAGTATGAACCAGAAAAGCAAGGGTAGTGAAGTAGATTTTAACTTGTATTTCAGACATAAGAATCATTTGTATTAAATAATAAATTGGGTTTATATGGTACTTAATCATTAACATTTTAAGATATACCTGTTATTGCAAATGCATGTGAACCTGCTTAACGTTGTGGAGAAAATTCTTTTAATTCGTTTTAAGATAGTTTACATTGATTAGGAAAAGCAGACTTGGTTTGTAAGGTATAGTTGCACTGTGCAATTTTGAACCCATATGTTTAAGGTTTGAAATCTAGCTATTATGTACAAAAAAAACTAACTTGAATTTCTTTTTCTTTCTTTCCATCAAAAGAATTTAACTCAGCAGATGAATTATTTTATTTATCATTGCTTACTGTGGCATAGTGTAAAGATTAAAGAATAATTTAATAAGTAATTTTTGTTGTGTTCACAAACCAAGTCTGTTGTATATTTGTTTTCTTCCTACTAAAAGTAGGTCTGAAAATCAGCCAGTTTGGTATCATTTTAAAGCTTTGTGACAACAGCAATTATAAAGGAACACCCTATGTATAAAAAATAACAGGCTCTTGTGCATGGTTATGTGTAGGTGATATGTCAGCCATGTTCCCAGAAATGAGCCAACAAGTGTCTAAGGAAGTGGAAGATGAAGCTAATGGATACTTTCAAAGAATTTACAATCATCCTCCTCACCCAACTCTCTCTATTGATGAAGTGTTAGAGATGTTGAAGAAATTTCAAGAGTCACCCAATAAAAGGGAAAGGGTAAGGAAATGGATTGATAAATAATGATATCATTATTGTGTGATAAGACAGAATTTAATTTATTCTACTTCCTCTGTTAAAAATAAGGTGCACATCAAGTCCATCCCACTCTAGTGATATTTTCTAGTTAAGGCATATGATCAGGATGATGATGTTATTGATAAAATGATAAATATAAATAGTTATTTACCCCCTACACTTGACTGTCGAGAAAATTAACACTGGTTTACCTGTTTCAAACTCGTCAAATGGTAACTTCAGACGTATAAAAGAACTGAAAGCATATGGAATTATAAAATTGTTTTAATCTGCATAGAATAGTAAAGAGTAATATTGTGTTCTTTGTCAATGTGCTAAGAAGTTTGAATTGTTTTCTTCCTTAAATTAGACATTTAAGTCATGGATTTTTGAATTTGTTTTTCCACATAAAGTATAAATGGGTAACTGTGAGATGTAGTGATACTTGTAACCAGTAAATTTAATATAAGTAGTATTGTTGGAAGTAAAAATGAACGCTTTATACATATTTCATTTTTTTCTTTCAACTTTAAATTAACAAGAACGTAAGCTGTGTTTTCCCATAATCTCTTACATTTTTCATATAATTACTCATTAAACTTGTTTCCATTTGTTTTGTGATACATTAGTACACCATTTGGCAAAACAGTTTCATAAATTAAAAAAGGTGAAAGTACATGCATTTAATAGAAAAACAGCTACAGACAAATTTTCTGTCATTGAAATAATGTGAAAGTAGGCAGCTATTAATTAAATGAATATAAAAATATGAAACAACCAACAAAAACAAATTACTTTGAATGTTATTGAATTTTTGGTACTGTCTTTTAGAAAAGCCGTTGTAGACTTTAACAGCATTTATTTATTCATGTATTAATTACAAAACATTCATATTTAGAAGAGTTATAAATTTTGTGAATATTAATTAAATATTTCATAAAGACCTTTATACACTAATTTTGATAACAATGTCATGCTATATATAGCACAAAGTACAATGTAATGGCATAAAGAATAAAAACATCCCATTATCTTTTCTAATTACCTTGCTATTAGAAGCTTTTAAATAAACTTCCTAGTGAGAAGTAGGGAAAATACCAGAACATAATGCCACAATAGTAATATGATGTTTTTGTAAATTTTTCAAGGAAAATGTTATAAGTTTATTGTCCTATAAAACCAACAAGTTAAAAAAAATACATACAATCAGTTGTTAATAGCAGTTTCAGTCTAATCTCTGTTTAGTGTCTTTTTCATTGTGAAAATATTTTGATGGTAGGGAATGAGGTAACTCGTGCTAAATGAAATTTTTATTGCTTTCATAAACAGGAAGTTTTCAGTTGTATGCTACGAAACTTGTTTGAGGAGTACCGGTTTTTCCCTCAATACCCAGACAAAGAATTGTTGATAACTGCACAACTGTTTGGGGGAATCATTGAACAAGGTCTTGTCACGTAAGTTTCTTAATAATAAAAATTGCTAAAATATAATGATACTTTTTTATTGATGTTGAATATAATTGTATGTTAATTAGGTAAGTTTTTGATTGTAACTGTTTGGTTAATGTAAAGTCAGACAATTGTATTGATATAATTGATTTGAAACTGCTGGTATTACTAAAGTAACACAACTTTATTATTCAGAATAAGGTTATAAATTTGTTTTATTTACTTGAGGAGATAGTAACTCATATTTTGTCATAAATAGTTGTATTTACATTTATAAAGTATCTCCCAGCATTATATTTCAATTTTTGTTCTGTGTCATTTATGTATAATGCTTATGCTTTTTTGATAACTTCAATATGAGTGGAGGTCATTTCTATTCCAGTTTAGAACAGGCATTGCGTAGTGGTCAGTGTATCGGATCTGGATGTGAGCGAATGATTAACGTCCTATTGCTGTAAAAATAAAAAACAACATGAAAGATACAATTAGAAGCTTAGAGGCTGTTGAGTGAAACTATATATGTATAGTTTTATAAAGCTTGTTTCAGTTTCATGTTTCTGAGGTGTGTACTATGCTATATATTTGATGCACTAAGATATTTATATAGTTTTGTAAATCTTTTAGTTTCATGTCCCTGGGCTTGGCACTACGCTATGTACTTGATGCACTCAGGAAACCTCATGGAAGCAAAATGTATTTTTTTGGTATAACAGCCCTTGACAGGTTTAAAACAAGGTATGTATTAAATATTTTTTGACCAAGTTTCATGTTATAGTTACCAATGATTTGTGATTGTTGTTGGATAAAAACAAGTAATACTAGCTTTTTATATGTTTACATACATAATTATTTCTAGAGAACTTTTAATTGAGAACTTTTAAAATATGAGAAAATATTTCAAAACAGCTGACCTTTAAACTGCCCCAGCTTGTTGTTAATAAGATTTTATACTATTTGGTTCACTTGCATGCTTCTTGATTATTAACCCTCTTGTCTAGTTTGTAATGATAGAGAGTTAAATTCAGAATTTAATTAATCTAATTTATTATCAATGTATACGAATATTTTTTACAAAAGCATAGCTAATAAATCATATTTTAATTTTATTTAAGTTTTAAATTCTTAAGTTTTACTCTATCAAATAATGTATAATGGCATGTTGTTTTCACTACAGAGTATTGTGAATTTCCTCTTCAGTTTAAGCATTTATCTTGTGGGGTTCAGATTGAGCAGCTGAGGGAATTAATTTAAGCCCTTCTTGTCCTAGTTAGAAAACCACTTAAATTATAATTATTGTAGGACATTGTGTGCTTTTTTGCATATTAGTACCGTCATTATAGAAAAAAAAAGGCTTAAATTCATCAACAAGCTAAAAAACAAGGTCAAAGAAAAGTACTGTATTTCTTGTTTTCATGTATATACTTTATTTATGGTCATAAAAGTAACTGAAATGTAAAAATTAGAAACTTATTAGGCAAAACAATGAAAATGATGATGATAAAAATTATTCACAGTGTATAGTTGCAAACAGCTTGCGCATTATGTCATTCAGTATGGTAACGTGAGCTATGTATTTGCAGAGTGGTTACAACTTGTGTGGTGGGATAATTAGTTATATATGGTTCAAATGGTATTAAAACGGTAAAATTACATATATAGAGAAGTAGACTGTTACAAGCCTTAAGCTATTTAAGATAAATAATTACCGTTTTCTGTTACAATCTGCGGTCATTTAAAAAATAATGGGTAATGTAGATTTATTTCTTCTTTTTTTTTTACAATGGTTACGAGGTCAGTCAAATCAACTGATTCCATATAGAGTTAAGGTTGAGGAAATAATACGGAAAATATAAAGTTTTACTTAAAAATACATTTGGTATTCATTTAGGAGATTTTGGAGATTATACAAATGAAATTTAAAAATTTTCAGAAAAATAATAGTATTTTGAATCTTAACATGAAAATCACTTTGCACTTGGAGCAATCAACACTGATTCTGTTTGTTCACAGAGAGATCTTTAGTAAAAGTACTTAGTTAAAAATTTTTTAATTTTAATTAAAAGATTTTCTGTGTACACAAATTTGATGTTTACTGAAAGCTTGCCTAATTTTTTGAAGATACACAAAACATTTCAAAAGTTCAGTATGGAAAGTGATTGTTACTTTGTGGTTACAAGGTTGGTCACATCACCCGACCCCTTATGGAAAGAGTTCAGTGATTACGAAAAATGTGAAATTTTTAAATAAAATATATTTGAATGATAAACTGCATTTTTTTATTTGTTATCCATTCACACAGCTGATGAAAAAATGTAATCAGAAAGCTTAAAACTAACTTGTTTAAATATTATTTTTGCACTTTCAAGAGCACACTAGTGCTTTAGCAGGCTCGTTTAAATATAGTTTGCCTTGTGTAATAAGATAATTCGAAATTAAAGAAAGTTTAAAACAATAGTACAAACAAGTAAGTAATATGCTGAATTTTTATTTCTCATCTGTCTATGAAACTTGTAAATTGTTGGTTATTAAGTATGAATTGTAGTACAAGTATGCAATTGTGCTTCTTTTTTTCTCATATCAAAGTTGTTAACATTTTTAGTGATTAAAAGTCATGCTTGGCTGCGAATGTTTTTGTCAAAGACTACTTTAAATTAATCCATTACAAATTTAAAATAAGATGAATTTTCTTCCTTTGTAGAAAAGATACCATAACTTAGTGTTTAATACATTTCATATTCTCAGTTCCTAATGATGGTGATTACAGTATAGTAATCAGCACCTCTTATTTAAGAATGTTAATAAAAAAGCTTAGAACGTATGTATGAAAGAGAGTAAAAGTGATCAACAATGAAAGATCTTGACTAAATTTTATTTCTAACTAGTTTATCCATTTTTTGTTTTCAGATATTACAACTACATATTTGTTTTCATTTTAGTTGATATTGAGCACTTGATAATCTTACCTAACAGTATTTTACTGGCTGCAAAACATGTAATGAATCTATGCCAGTACTCAGTTTTGTATTTTGAAATGAAGGAGGAAACTTTTAGGTATATTTATACATTAATATTTCTACTTTTTTTCTAGATTGAAAGAATACCCTCAGTATTGCCAGCATCTTTCCTCTATTGCTCACTTCCCAGATTTCCCAAGTCATTTGATAGAGGTATGTATAGGTGAAGAGGTGATCAGTACTATTTGGTTTCTTGTGATAATTTTTAGTAGTGAGGAAATTATAAGAAACTGTTATCTTTTGTTACTTCAGAGAGCATTTGAAAAAAAAAAGATATGTAAATTATTTTAATTGTAATGTGGAAAGTGTCAGTTATGTTTATTTTTATTACTATAAAAGCAAAGATTAACTGATAACAAATTCTTTTATTCCTAAATAAGAATAATCAGAATGTTAATACCAAAATTCTTATAAAACAGGTACATTGTTCTACAGAATGAAATAATATTTTACACAAACAGATAAAACAGTCACATTCAGTTTACTCTTTAACAATCAATACATCAGTAACCATCCTTAGCTGAAATCATTACCTAAACCCATGAGGAATGCTTTATTCAAGCTTTTTGAGATATTCAATAGAAATTAAATTCTAGGTATCTTGAAGTACTGTGCAGAATTCCTTCTTGGATTTCTGCTCCTTTTGGTGTTTTTTTTTCAATCAAGATAGCCCTCCACACAGACTGAACAATATCGTGATCTCAACTCTGTGGAGGCCATACAATTAAAGCATACTGGATCATTATGTTTGGGATCATTACCATTTTAGAAATTGAAATTTTTTCTACTAACCAATGTCTAGAAGGAAAAGCATGGTGAAATGAGTATTTGGTTATATTAGACAGAATCCAAGATTCCATCATTATGGTTGAGATCACCAACTCCAGTTGTGGTTAAACAGATCCATGCTTGGATGCTATCTTTGCCATGCTTAACTAAAAGTTGCAGACGAGTTTCCTTTAATATCTCATCGCTCCTGCTAAAAATGACTTGATTTGTATTGAAGTGGATGCTTTGTTTGTGTAACATTTATTCTTATAAGATAAGAAAAGCTTTAATAAGAGCACATATCTCAGTATAAGAAATGGAGGTTGCTTTAAAAGTTTGTGCAAAAACTGAGATTATATCCTTTTGGGGGTGTATGTGTGTTACAAAGTTCAGTTCACTTTGATATTAAGTTTCATAATATTTTCTCCTTTTCTAGTAAAATGAAAATACCAAGGAATGTATATAGAAAGTAAAGTAGGAATAATGATTTTCATTTCAGAAATGTAAACCTTATTTTAGTATAAAAGATGCACATTATGCACTATCTACAAATTGTATGTATTTTTTCTGTTACACAAAGAACTGAATCATGTAAAGAAATAGGAATGTTTTCAAAGAAATTAAAATTTAAGACAACAGGACAAACTTGTGATTTTGTTTGTCAAGTTATTATAGCTGCTTTATCTTGAATGCCATAATTTTTAGTTGGCTATTGACAACTTTTTCCTTACTGTTACTAAGTTCATGTTGGCCAGGTGGTTAAAACGCTCGACTCGCAACCTGCGGGTCACTGGTTTGCATCCCCATCCCACCAAACATGCACGCCCTTTCAGCCATGGGGGCATTATAATGTAATGGTCAATCACACTATTCATTGGTAAAAGAGTAGCCCAAGAGTTGGTGGTGGGTGGTGATGACTAGCTGCCTTCCCTCTAGTCTTACACTGCTAAATTAGGGACTGCTAGTGCAGATAACCCTCGTGTAGCTCTGCTCGAAATTCAAAACAAACAAACTAAGTTCATGAAAGAGTGTGCTGCCATTCAAATTTCCATGTTTATGAAATTGTAAATGTAGCTACTACAACTGCTGTAGTTGCATATGCTCTTAAGGATTTTTTGATTTACCTTATGTAACTATGGATTGTTTTTTAACCATGAATAGACAAGGAAATTACTTTTTCATCCATTGATGCTATTCTTTTATAATAAAAATTATGATTTATGAAAGGGGGTCTGAAGAATGCATAAATTTGACATTTTTTCTTTCATAAGTCTTTTTTTTTGTTCAGTGATCTCTTGCTTTTAGTAAAAGAAAACTTAGATAATATAGGATAAAATATTTACAGCTTGTAATAGAAAGATCAAATCATGAAAATAATACCATTAGCTTAAAGCATTGACTTGTGTTTTTCTATTTATAACTGTCCTGATTAGGTCTATATATATATAATTTTTATTTGATTAGTCATATCATAACTAATAAAACATGTTCTTGATGCAATAGCCCAGTTATCATTAAAGCAATCAAAATTAATACACCATCAAAATGTCATACACACAGTTATATCTTTTCTGTTCTCTCTCTCACACACTCACTGGACAAGACATTGAAAACTAAACCTAATAGTGTTTTGGGGCACCGCATGGTTTGATTACATACTGGATACAAAGTGGCAATGGCTCCACTAATGTCTAGAAGGTTTCTGCTTCATTTGTTTTTTACATGCTAGTAAAGTTTAGTACTGGTAAAGCACAGGCTCTCCTCCATCAATTTGTGGATTCCTCTCCCAGCTTGTTTGTCAATTGTAGTCTTAAGTAGCATTGTGCCATTCCTAATTCTGAAACACTTTTAATGGGAAGGTCAGGCAGCAACTTTTATTTTATACATTGTTATTAATTGTTGTGTATCTTTTATATATATATGATTTTTTTAAACACTAGGTACCCAATGTAAGTAAGTTGATTTTAATACTTTTACTACTTTTTTTTATGCTTGAGGGGGTTCGGTACTGGCCTTGGCACAGGCTTTCATCACTCCAGTAACCTCCTTAAGGTTCTTCCGGTAATAATGCCCTGTTAAATTTGATTTGAGTAACATCTGCCCTTTCCACATACTTTTGCATTCCCATACTTCCTCCCTCTTTCCTTTAGTCATTTAGTTGACCAGTGGGAACTCTGTTGCATCTTCTCCTTTCCCCTCAATGTACATGTTATTTAATTGATGACATCATTTGAAGGTTGTGCCAGGTTGCCTAAGGGCTGTGCTGTACCAACTAGGTGATCCAATTTCTTGGTGAATGTTATGCCACTGTGACCTAGAACAAAGGTCATTATTAGATAAGCATTAAAGCCTTTTATAAGTTTTACTTATGTTCTTTGAACAAAACCAATTAGTTTGATGAGATGAGGCTTAGGGAGTCTGTAAAGAGTATGATCCTGTCATGAAATTTACTGTTACTGTTCAACCAGATAAGTGAGTCTCTACATGTAGACATCTGGTAGTTTTATTTTTCTAACGTGAAAATACCTCCTTTGTATAAACACAGGGAGGGCTGATGTATTTTATAGGCAAGAATTTATAATATATTTTATCTACTATGTGTGTTTGTGTTACCAAATCATCTGGCTTAATGTTTTAAAAGTATTAATTGACCACAAAAAGTACTGTCAAGTCTATTAGTTGCTTCAATATAACACAAAATATCATTTGTATGAACTGTTCAAATGCAACATAGTAATTTGTACAAATTGATTTTAATAGTAGTATTATGACTTAGTATTACTATAACTTAATCTTTAGTCATCTAGTTTCTTAAATTTTATCTCTTATTGATAGTAGCTTGGAAAATTTACAGTGGTTCAAATAATATTTTAATATAGCTGATATTAAATGTTTTTCACTGTTATATTATCTTCTATGTTGGTAAAATTTCAGAGAAATTATGCTTATTAGCCACAGCAAAAGATATCCTAAAAAAAAATTTTTTTTCTATTATTGTGCATTTTATGAATTACACCTCATTACATTGCCACATTATCAATAAATGCAATTTATTTTTGAGATGTAAAAGCAAAATATCAGATTGAAAAATGAAATTGTTAGTTCTACAGTTTATTAAAGAATTAAAGGTTTAGTAAAAGAAAAACCAGGAATTCTGTTCCAGATATAATTTTTCGCATGTTAACAATAGGTATTTACGATTTTGCCATATATTCTAAAAAATGTAAAAGAAAAGAAAAAAAATTGGGTATTTTTGTTAATTAGATTTATAGGTTTCTAATTATTTGAGCATCAGTTAGTTTTAAAATAAATGAAGCTAATTGATTTCATACATCATGGTTTTATTAAATAAAGTTTTAATTTAATCTACATAATAACATAAAATATATTATATCTACAATGTAATATAGAAGATTTATCTTCCACGTGACTTCAGTTTATTTAGTACTTTACATTATTTTGTTTTTCCCTTCTTAACAGACAGTAGATACTTGTGATTGTTTTGGTGATTTTGTTTTCTTTTTTTAAATGGAGTTCATTTGTTTGAAAAAGTAATGAAGGACTGAGTTGTATGTTAAATTTGGATCTTGCATTTTCTAATTTAAGGCATTTTGTTTTCTAGTACATTGAATATGGAGCTCGCACCCAGGAACCACCCAACCATCCCCAGGGGTTATCTTTACCTCAAAGTATGGTTGGAATGTCTTCAGGTTTCGGTCCTATCGTTTCTGCAACGGCACGGACTGTTACCACTACCACTGCAACTGTGATTACTACTGCTACTACTACAAAACCATCAACTATTGGAAGTGGAAAGGTACAATTTGTATTGAAAAGTTTTTCTAACCCTATTTACTTTATAAATTATCTGTGTTTTATTAGTTTTTACAATTTTGTAGCCATCTAAAAAAAATGCATTATGAGCAAATGTCACTGGCAAGTAAAATACAGCTTTTAATATATCAGAGTAAAAACCATAGAAGTCGGTGTTTAATACAGGTTCTACCTATATTTTTACATAAATGATTAATATGTGTAATATACATTAAAGGTTGTATTTAAATCCATTTCATATGAAATTCATGCACATTTGTTTGTTTTTTTCACTGTATTGAAAAGATACCAAGAAATGTGGCTGTATGCAGTGATTTTTTGTTATCCTTTCCTCAGATATAGCTGTTTAACAGCGGACAGTAGGGCTAACATAAATTACCAATGTATATACCCGGAAATTACCAGGGTATTGCTGTTTTCTTTTCCTTCAGATATTACGAGGCATTTGAGGATAGGAGATATGCTATAATTACATCTACCACACTGGGGGGGGGGGGGTATAGCCATATGTAATGGTTAATATCCTTTCCTTCAGGTATGGCTAGACATTCATTCTACATTGCATTAAGAAGCACAAAAAAGTATAATTCTTTCCTTCCATGTATGGCTAGACATTCTATAACATGTTCCATTTACTCTGGATATCTTGTTTCTGTCTAGAATCGTGTAATTTATCTATACGTGTCATTTTATGACATCAGCTTCATCTTAATTCCACCTTCACTAGTGTAGTTATAATGCATGCATGTTTCTCTCAGTTAGTCTAAACAAGATGCCTGATGTAAACTGCAGCAGCAGTATGCTTCTTCCACTATTTTGGGTTCAAATGAGAAGTGTGTTTAAATCTTGGCAAAAAGAAGTTTAATAAAGAAATTAGTTGTAGAGATCATCATCAAAGGTCTTAAATTCTTTAAACACCACCTAGAAGAGACAAGAGGCGCTGCAGCTTCTTCACAGAATTCTTCAAAACTTGAATTTGAGTCCTTTCAATTGTGTGTGTCTGGGAACAAGACAACCGAGGAAAACTCAACTATTATCTACCAGTGCAATGAACTGAGGTCACAATTCATGGAACTATGGGAAAAATATGGATTAGAAGGAAATAAATATAAGTTTCAGGTTCTGCATGTAGCATATGACCAATCTACCCAGATACAGATACATTTGTGTCTGCTAGGATTAATGCTTGTGTTGTGTTGAGTTTTGTATAATAAATGTCACCTCTGTTTCAAGAGTGTCCATGATTTACATCGACTTAGAGTTAAAAAACATGTGCATTATAAAGATGACAATCAACTTTTGCTATTTCGTTAGAAAATAGTAGCTCAATAGTTGGTGGCTGGTGGTTTTAATTAGCTGCCTTCCCTCTAGTCTTTACAGTTCAAAACAAGAACAACCAGAGATTGCATACCCTTGCCCTGCCACTCTGTTTCAAGATTGGATGCACTTATATTGGATAATGTCAAATTTCACCATCAAAAACTCAGAAAATGCTTCTCAGATCCAGAATGATCAATGATTCAGATCATTTTTTTGTAGTGTGATGAGTCTCAAGCTTAATGAAATGTATTACAAAATGCCCTATTTTCATATTATAAAATATGCTTCAGAGTGATCCAGATTTGGATCCAGACCAAATTTGGGGAGGATTGTCCCATATTGACTTCCAATCTTGTATACATTTTGTGTAATCAATCTGTTAGTTTTTGAGATATGAGTGCAGAAAACAGACATGCACAAATGGACCCTTGCCCTCCCTCCAGGGGTGAGGGTAACTAGGAATACCTAGCAAAGAAAACCCTCGACTAACTTTACAAATATTGAAAAAAATGTATTCAAGGGAAACATGTTCTTTGCTGTTTGCAGTGGGTGTAAAGAGATACATACTGATAATGAAACATGCCAGGATCTCATTGAAGTCATGCAGGCATTTAATCTTATATCAACAGCTGTATTAAAGTGAGCATGTCATAATAATATTTTATAGTGTTATATTCAAAATTTAATTAAATAGTTTTATTCAGAACCAACTAAATTCTAAGTCCTTAACCTGACTTTATGCTAGAAAGCTAATTGTCATTCTATAGTCTGTTTTTTAATTAGCTGATTAACTTTTATAATCTGATTCTTGATTTTTTGAGAACTGGTCAAATTACGATTACAGGCTGGCACTTTTAAGGGCTAGCTAAAATCACACTCTTGATTAATTTGTCTTTTTTATAACTTTTTGTTACTGAAGGCTGACTAATTATTCGTTCTATAATTTGAATCTTAAATTGTATTAGATTGTTAGTACAGATTGTCATGCATAATTTTAGAGGATTGACTAAATTGTATTTATCTTGGACTAATTCAGAAACTTTGAAGGCTAACTAATAAATGTAATACTTTTTTTTATGAATAGCTGATTAAATGGATTAAATTTTTTTTCATCTTGAGTGTTGACTTATTTATTATTAATATACAGACTGGCATTTAATTTGTAGAAGCTAAGTTGTAACAGACTGAACTGTTAATTCTTTGGGTCAGTAAGGGGAATTGTTGAGGATGATAAAATAAAAATCCAAACATTGGTATATATATTTATGATTGCAATCAGTCACATTCACTCTATCATTTCCACAGTATTATCTGCTGTTTTGTTAGTTACTTAAAGTGAAATGTATTGTATGTTTACCTTTGATAAGTAGAATATGTGATTTTTTCTTGTGCTTATGTTTGCTTAATCAGTAAAGACAGTTTTATAGTACAAAGTAAGGGAATTATTTATTTTAATATTCATGCCATCTTTGTAAACAGAAAAAAAAACATTGTAATCTTTGTTTGTAATATGACATTATGAAAAACATGGAAAACAATTGTATCCAATTTTTTATTAATAGTGAGTTGCTTGTCTTTTTTTTTTTATTGGGCCATAGTGCAGTATCTAAAGACTTAACCTGTGTTTTTTGTACCAAACTATGCATATCTATTATTTCAAAGTTATTTTTTGTATTACTTTTACTTTCAAGTTACTTAACATTTAAGTATAATCTAATATGCTAAGCAAGTCAAGTCTTTCAAGGTGCTAATGAGTTTGTGGCTCGAAACACTGCTTACAGTGAGGATGTCCAGCTGATGAAAAGGGAATATTAGTCCTTATTAGTTTTTACTGTTAGTATGTGTTAAAATGAGGTTATTTGTCTTTAACACATTTACTTCCAAGGTCATATTTGTGGAATTTTGCTTTGGCCTAACTTCAATTTTTTTTTACCAAATAGTAATTTTCTGCCAGATTTAGGGTTATTAGGTATAAATATATAATGTTTCCTATGTTTTTTTTTAATTTCAAAAAATGAGTGACATGGGCCGATAAAAGTCCATTTGCATCCAGGACCTGAAATGAATAACCCAGTTGAGAGAAAAAAAAAATTTTTGAAGGATTTAAAGTTCAAATGTTTGTCTTGTAATATATATATATATATGTGTGTGTAATCAATTTTGTATTTTTTTATCATACATTTGTATACAAGCAAGTTTTTTCTGCCTAAACATTATTTTAAAACCATAACAAAAGCTTAAGAATATGTCTTACAAACCAGAATCAAATAGCCCTTTACAAATTTAAAGTAATGTGAATCACATTTGCGTGACATGGATTTAACAAAATATTGTGCATCATGCATATGCGAGTGACGTGGTACATTACCGTAAAACCACGTCACTCTCATATGAGTAATGTGGGACTGAAAGTGTTAAAGCATATTTAAATACATGTGAATATATGTGTAATGAGGGTGTGTTTCAGTTTTGGTATGTGTGTAGGCTTATTTGAGTTTAGAAATCTAAAGGAATATGCAGCTTATCATAGAGATGAAACATTATGTACAGGCTGTACCCATTTTGTATAGAATGTTACCTTCACTGTTTACCATACAAAGGTTAGACTTGATAACTGTTTGATAAGAACTTAAACAAGAATATGTATAACAGTTTTTACAAGTTTAATAAAATAATGCAATTACTATCAAGGGGAATCTTGTATTTGTCCTTGTTATAAGTAAAACATTACATCACAACTTCTTCATTCCATTTTTTTTGTATGACCAGTATTCAACTGTAAATTGATTTTTGTTCTTCATTGTGATTTTTTTAAATGTAGGACTAGTATGTTCTTTTTTTTATGTGGTCTGGAATGTTATTGGAAAGCAAGATCTGTATTTTAATTAATTAATAGAAAAGAGCACATTTTATGTAATATAAAAGCTTAAGGGATATGTTTTTTAAGACTCATAACATAGGTAAATTAATATGTAGAATTATACATGAACTTTTCTCTATGTTAAAATACTTTTATTTGTGAGTTTTCTGCCCTATTAGCAGAGCCTTGATTGGGCAACAATGTCCTGAGCTATAATGAGGGACTTGTGATTTGCCCCTTTTTGTCATTGCATGTATCCAACTTGATTTAAATTTGATTATAATTGAATGGAATATTAAAGCTTTTCAGTCAGTTGTAGAATGTTTCAGTGTGGCATCTACCCATTGTAATTATCTTATTTCTCAGATTTCTTTCTGTTGGTATAATTGTTCTTTTGCATTTGTTCTGTTTATTCTGTTTTGTATAATACTGTTTAAGATGTTAGCCCATCTAGTGATCAACTGATAACCATTTATTATGTTAAAAGCAATTATTTAGCCTTTTCTGATCTCTTATTTTATGGCAAGTAGTGACAAAGTAATTGAAATTAAATTTAAGTCATAAATGTTTTTTGTTGTTTAATAGATATTGGTGTTTATTCAGTTATTTCAGGATTATGTAGATTCCTGCTAATAACTGAAAAAAGTATAAAATGTCTTTTATTTATTTAATAGCTTTATTGCATTTGTAGAGTCTGGTTCCGGTTAAAACTGATAAGCTTGATTGCTCAGTGAAAAGATCTTTAAAGGAGCACTATAATGCCTTCTTTATTGTTTTGATGTTGTTACTAGGTAGTAATTAAGCCAAATGGGATGTGGGGGAACAAAACCTTATAGAAACCTCAACCTGATGGACATATCTTTATATATATATATATATATATATGGATCTTTATATATATATATATGGTTCAGAATGTGTAAACAACACATGTTTTATGCAATGTTGATTGCACTATAAGACAAGAAATTAATACAAATCATAACGTGGTTTTAGTAAATAAAAACAAAAATTTATAGTTCATTATCATTTATTTAAAGAATTAATGTACTATCATACTTTTGTCAGGGTTTGCACAGGTAACGAAAATCCTGGAAGTCGTGGAATTTTGTAAAACAAGCTCATTATTTGAAATCATTGAAAATCAATGATTTTTATCAGGAGGTTCTGGAAAGGTCCTTGAAACTTTAACTATTGTTCCCATGTTCCTTGTTTTTTATTGATGATAAGCCATACCATTGTATTTATCTCAGTTTTGCAAGAAGTTATCTCTAGAAAAAAATTAACATGTGAAATGGGAATGGCACTGACCTGACAACACTGTTTAGTAACAGTCTTAGAACAATGTTTATCTATATGCAAGCAAACAGGTGTCACATGACTATTGTTGGAATGGTATTGTTCACATAAAAAAGAAGCTCAAGACTCGCATGGCAGAAAGTTCAAATCATAAAATTGTTGTCAGAATAATGAAGCCGAATCCTCGTCATCAGGTATTGCCTAATATCTGTTAATAAAAAGAGTGAGAAAAATGCAAAACCAAATGGCCATAACATAATAGAATGTTATCATAAACCTAACTGTTGTGCATGAAATAGTGAAATATTTACCATAAAAGACAACCCATTAGCTAATATCTTATAATGTCATCCATTATATCTCTAGTGATTGATCTGAGCCAGTTATTCAAACAATTATTTTTTTTTAATATTATTCAAATGTGGATATGTGTTATAGTAAAAGAAAACTCTCAGGGCTGAACACTACATTGAAATATATACATTTTATTCACCCACAAGGTTTTCAGTTCTTTGGAAAGTTTTATTATTATTATTACTTAAATAAGGGGAATTGTAGTAATAAACCTGAAAAATGCTCAAATATATTGCAATGTAATATGTGGGGAAACCACAAGATATACAACATTGTTAATGTGCACAACAATAAGAGAATTGTTTCAGGAACGAGTGTGTATCAAGCTTTGGCATGGTGGTGTGTCTTGATGTATGTTCAGCAACCAGTTGGGTTACAAGTTGACTTGTTCTATTGGGCTGGTGAAATGTTATGTTAAATAGATTTTCTTTGGTTTTTGTTACATGCGAGAGGAGTTTTCAACACTTACCAAAGCACAGTAGCATTTGGGAGAAAGATGCAAGACTTTATTACTTTATTAACTAAAGTTAGGAAAAGTTAGTAAGTCATGAATTGATTTGTGCTTTGTTCAGTAATGTGTGGTCACTTGGAATTTCTTTTAATGGCTTTTTTTTGTCAAAGTATGCCAGCGAAGTGCAAATTCAAACAATCGTGAACTTACTTGATCTTAGTATCATGTGCGTTCTAGCAAACATCTGAATTAGAACATTATATATATTATATATAGATATATATCGTCTGTACAAAGAAGTATACATCCTACTAAAAGTCTCTGTTAGGTTATGTGTGATAAGTAGAACTTGGTACCAGTAGACATTGTTATACACTAATTGAGTAACTAGTGAATTAATGGTTAGTATGCAGTGTTGTACAAGCAGATCACTTGGGGTGAGGAACTAAGTACTGGTTTCTGTAGTATTCCCATAAATCTTTTGAAAAACAAAAACCTTGTAACGTTTGTAAAAAAAGATTATTGTTTAATTTCTAGTTAGCACATGAAATTTTGAGCCAATTTTTTACTGACTGTCAATTCTTGTTGGAATTGTTTCAGCCATCCATTGCTAATGCTACTAATATTGACACGCTGCTTGTAGCAACTGAGAAAGATGAAAAGATGGTAATACCTCCTGAATCAGTGCAGGACAAGGTGGGATTTATTATCAACAATCTATCACAGATAAACCTGGCACAAAAGGTAAGTGATTTTTTTTGTATAACAAAAGTTTTAATTTATTTGAAGATGAAAATTCTCATCTTCTATTCATTTGACATAAAAAAAAGGTATTCATTGTGATGACAGAGCATTTTACTGTACCAATTTTTAGAGTAGGCACGCTAAAAACATTTTAAATTGACTAGTATTATTAGGGTCTAATGTACCATGTGTTTGGCCAAAACTTCACACATGATAAAATATTGTAAGAGTAATAAAAATTGTTGTACCTATTTTTCTTTTATTTAAATTGTTTTATAATCATACTTTAATACAAATTTTTATGGCTTATAATTCAATCCTCTTCATGTGCATTCATATACAAAAGTAAAATAATACAGTTTGGAGAAGTTATTGAAGCCTTAAAATAGTAATAAAGAATTTGTTACAACTTATATTAACATTTTATTTGGGGTTATATTTGTCTTTTTGTTTTTTAAGAAAACATTCTACGGCAAAAATATTGCTCTTATGATAGTTCTTCAGGGTAAACTGGTGGACATGATAATAATGAGCTCCAGTTATTTATGCTAAGTTACCCCAGGTTTGAATTACCATTACTATATTTGAAAAAAGATTAAATTTTTACTGTAGTATCTCGGATGACTTGTTGATCTTAAGTTCAAGGGTGTAAAACTTGACCATTTCAGACAGAAGAGTTTAAAGAGCTTGTGAAGGAAGATTACTGGCCATGGGCTTCCCAGTACTTGGTTATGAAAAGAGCATCCATTGAACACAATTTTCACACACTGTACTCCAATTTCCTAGACACACTGCGCCAAGTAGATCTTAGTAAACTTGTAGTGCGTGAGACCTTCCGCAACATTAAGGTAACGTACTTATGGTCAGCTGTATGATTATTTATTGTAAGATGGATATATTCTATATACATGTATCTTTTTAATATTCTTATTGAATATATTTACTATTTAAATATTTTATGTAAGTTTGAAAAAGCTGGGACATCATTGGATTTTTTTATCCTCAGTCAAGCTTTAATTCAGTTGTGAAATCATATCAAGCAGTCTTTTATAATTTATTTTTAGTAACAAATTAAAAGTAGATGTCGGAAGCCTTTTCCGAGACAACACACAAATCCCATTGTACAACAGTATCATTTTCAAGGAGTCTCATACTTAGAAATACTCCTATTTACTCAAGGTTTAATTGTTTATTTTTTTTATAGTAAATTAATTTTGGAGCTATTACTTTTTAAGTAAGTTTTAAGAATATCTACAAACTTTTGTTAACTTTGAATGAGATATTGCATGAGTAGGATTAGTTGAGGAACAAAGTTTTATTATGTTTGTATCATCAAACATGAGACAGCCTTAATAAGGTAAACTCTACATCAAAAATTAAGTTATTCAGTTTTACCTAACAGTTAGAAGAATAATAGATGTTCTAAAAAATACACTTTGTTATTCTCAGGTTCTTCTTCGAAGTGACAAGGGAATTGCTAACTTTTCAGATCGTTCTTTATTAAAGAATTTAGGCCATTGGTTAGGAATGCTGACGTTGGCAAAAAACAAACCTATAATGCAGATAGTAAGTATTTTTTGTTGTTTCTAGGGGCTGTATAGTAAGTTTATGATATTTTCATATATTTTTTTAGTAGATTCTTATTATATCAAATTAATTTTTATTAATTCAGTTATATTTGTTGTAGACAAAATAAGTTCTCTTAATGAATTAAACATTTCTGAGCCAAAAACAATAATTCTTTTTATAATCAGCACTTGAATTTGCTTGTATTAAAACGTGTAGATGTAAAAGTATAAGGTGAGATCATGAATCGTATGCATCTTACTTATATATTTGGTAGTGGCCTTTATTGCCTACAGGAACTAGCTAAAATGTGGCATCATCTGTTTTTGAGGACAAGAGCAAAGTAATCTATTTTATCCATCTGTTGAAGGCAAAAATGAATTCAATACTGAGTATTGTAATATGTATTCAGGGTAATTTAAATCTTACTAGACATAATAGTAAAAATAGAAAGCATTTGTAACTGATTAGTGTAAGAAAAAGAGAAATATAAGAAATCACTTTGAAAAAATGTACGTTTATGTATAAGCCCCACAGTGTCTCAGTGGTAAGTCAGGAGGCTTATAATGCTAAAAACTGGTCAAAGCTTATATGGACCATTTTGTAGCTTTTTGCTTAATAACAAACAAACATTCATGTGTTAAAAAATTTCTAAAAAAATGCACATGAAATTTGAAGACAAAGCGTTAGAAAATAATGTTTTAAAAATTATATATAAATTTGTATAACAAATTTCTCACTGGTTTGAGCTTTTGTTTCTCAGGTGGATATTATTATTTCAGGATATAGACATAAAGTCTCTACTTATTGAGGCTTATCATAAAGGACAACAAGAACTTCTCTATGTAGTTCCTTTTGTTGCCAAGGTTCTGGAATCTTGTGGGAAAAGTCGAGTGAGTAGGACTGTTTTTAACATTTATTGATATACACCTCTGGATATTATTTATAATGTTTTTTCCTTGTTCCTTAAAAATTCTGAGTTTTCTTTAGTATCATTGAGTATCATTGCTTCAATATATATATTAGAACTTTTAAGTTTCAAATAAATGCTGACATTTTAACTTTTTTTTTCATACGACCAGGTCATAGTGCATATCATGACATTTTAGTGTTACATTCAAAACTTCATTAAACAACTTTATTGTCAGTATATGTTAATAAACATGGCACGAAAACACAGTTTATAATTAAAAGTTTTATATTTTGTAAGTTTTAACTTCATTTTTCTGTGTAATGATGCATCTGAGCTCCAAAATTGTTCTTCATAATTTTCTAATTTCAAAAATAGGCTGCTGCAGTTTTCAACCAATTAGAAATACTAACTATTCATAAGTAGAAGCAAGAAGTCTAAACTCTGAACATCCTACCTTTTTTGATTTGCTGAGATATCATTACATTTGTAAAAAAAAAAACCTTACAGAAATGCATAGTAAATTAGAGTTATATTATATATCGTTTCACATTTCCAAGGTTGGTCAAATCAGCCTTATAAAGTTAAGGAGTGTGCCAATTTATTATTGAAATACTTTTTAAATCTGCTGTCTAAAGGTATATAGCACCAAAGCTGGTTAATGAGTGATAGGTATGATATTCACACATTATAAAAAGGTATATAATACTAAGCTGGGGTTATAATCTAATATAATTAAGTTGATCACAAATAAATTTGTCAAGTAGCATACAAGTGTGGTCAGGGATGACTGAATATTGAGTAAAAAGTGTTGCAAGCGATGACCATAAAGGACAAATATTGTAATAGCAGGCTGTTGTTTTTTTTCTGTGGGTAATTTCTATGTATATAAGTGAAACCAAGGCTATTTTTGAAAAGTTGTATTTATCTCATTTTCATTTACTTAGTAAAACGTTTCACATATTATACTTACCACGTATGGCACAAATGTGTTAGACATGTATAGTAATTATAAAGTGTCTCAATCAAGCAGTCATAAGAGCGTCGATACAAAATGCTAGAAAAATGTACTTGCCATCCCATAAAATACATAAAGTCAAATATCTTATTTAACAGTGAACAAAATCAGTCAATTAATGACTAATAATCATTGTGACTAATGTTTTTAAATTAAAGGGATATATATATTTGTGCATATAATTTTGGTTTGAGGTTTAGAATTTCAAAGTTTTAAATATTTATGTGTACGTGCCAGACTTCCACAGTTCAATATTTTTAGGAACTTAAATGACCCCCTAGAAATCTACCTAGAGTGCTTTTTTAACAATAGAACAATTAATATGAAAAAAAGCTTGCCCTGCACTTTTGTATACCCCCCCCCCCAAGCCAATGACAGATAAAATTTGGAAGACATAAAAATTAAAGTATCCTATTACATTATGGTTACACAATAAAACCTTCACTAAACAGGGATTCTGGATTAGAGGCAAGTAACCTGTGGCTACCATTGATTGAATCTACAGGAAGTCGTTCCACCAATCAGAAATAGGGATAAACCATCCAATAAAAACACATCCTCCACAATCCATCAGAATACTATAAAGACTGAAAACACCTGACCTGAAGACAAAAGGCAGAAGGCTTTCAAAACGTTGTCCTCTATACTTGTGTTTCTACAACAGGAAGTTGCTGTCCATTCAACTAACTTCGTTGTGTTGGCTGTTGAATCTTGTATCATTTTAAGAACACGGCAACAGAGAGGCTAGTCGTGTGTTTGAAGTGGATGAAAAATCTGTGCGAGGGTAGTGAAAACAATGGCCAAAATTAAAAGAAATACCAAAACTAAATGAATCATGAGGAGTGGACGTGCGAAGTGGCCAACACTGGAAGAAGATCTGAAGGCTTGAGTTATATCATAGCTAGATTAGGCCATTCAGTATTCATGACCCTAATCTGCCTTTAAGTGCAGCAAATGGCCAAGCAGACACAGATGAGGTCTTTGACAGCATTACTGAAGATGCCCCCCCCCCCAAAAAAAAGTACCCTGATGAAGGGCTTGGTCTGTTAACCTCAAAAATGTCACATTTTACTGACAAAAGAACTTACCTCTGTAGTGTTTAACAGGAGATTCCGTTTAATTTTTCAATTTTCCTCCTCGAGGAATCATTTTGTTTGTTTCATGCCTCTATGTTACCATTCATGTCATTTATTACCATAAGTACATGTAAATCAGTATTCATTATTTATTTTCATACTGGTAGCTTGATTGTCAAATCGTGCAGAAGGTGCTAAGTATTCTAACATCAGACCACAAGCTTTGTTCCTCAACTGTTGTGTATTTTAGAGGAACATAGCTAATAATTTCTTACATTTTATTCAAATTAAATATTTATAAAATATATATTGCTATTAAAGCAAAGAATGGTTACATGTAGAGTTTGCAGATGGTCTAGTTGTACAGTGGATAAAATGTTAAGCTGATAGTGCTTTTCCAATGCTCAAATTTAGTTGTTTGGAGCATGGTGAAATATATTTTGCACACGTGTGTGATAAATAAAAGCTGAGGTCTGTTCTGAAACAAAAATACACTACATTTAGATATGTGCCAAAATTCTTCCTTTCCTAAAACTTTAGTTTTCTGTATCACGTGTAGCCGTAATATAAATCTTCATGTATATATATATGTACCTTTTTGTTTATGAGAATTGTTTCATTTCATCTTTTGAAGTTGTCAGTTATTTGAAAATTTTTCTTATGTATCTGAACATTCCTACAAAATAAATTTTAATCAAAATTGTCAAGAAATTGGGTAAGTATAAAATGTCCTTATTATTTATGTATTTATGAACTTATATTTACTTCGTTTATTGATGTTTGAATTATTATGTACTGAATCAATAATGTTGATTATTTAGCTCCCTTACTCAAATATAAATTTTTTAAAGTTGTTAGACTATTAAGTTATTGAAGCATTTGGTATCCGTTTTTTTCTTTTGTGACAGGAACATTTTGTTCAAGCCTGTGTCAGCTTCCTGAAACGACGTTGTCCACAAATAATGGGAGGTTTAGTGAAAGAAGATGGAATTCCAAAGAGTGCACAGCTTCCACCAGAAACTTTAGCTACAATGTTAGCATGTTTGCAGGCTTGTGCTGGGTAAGTAAAACTTTTTATTATGCTTTGTACAGTCTCCATCTGTTAAAGGGTCTAAGTCCAAAACATAGATCTTGACATTTAAATTGTAAATTATTTAATTTCATCTTGTTTAATTACTAATGCATTTCTTTTCTGTAGTCATTTAACTTTAGTTACATTTACAGAAGCAAAAAACATTACTGATATTAATATATTGCTTTGGATAGAGCATTTATATAGTAGTCCATGTATGATCCAGATGTTTGTGTACTCAGACTGTGAATCTGAGTTTATGGTTTGTGGCTCGTTGCTGTAGAAATACACTCTGCATCTTGGTGATATTGGTACACTATAAAAATAAGGGTCAAATCCCACTATTTTATCAAACGAGAAACCCAAAATTGGTGGTGGGTCCTGCTGGCTAGCTGCTTTTCCTGTAATCTGTCACTTCCAAATTAGGAATGGTTATGTTACTTTTTATAGCTTCACATAAAAATTCTCAAACAAAAAAAAGTGGTTGATTTATATTTGCCACTAGAAATCAACAATTTCAAAAGGCATTCTGTTAGCATTCACTTAAACTGAAACATCTGTTTCTGTTATCACACTATAGATTTCTTGATCTGTAGGTTAATAAATATATTTGAAATGTGTGTATTTTATCTTATTCTGAGAATAATTTTCTGTTACATGTATTTTTTGTATAAAACAGGAAGTTTTGACTTAATTGCATGAACTTACAGTTAGGTAATATAATTTTTTTGTGGAATAAATTTATATTAATGAAAGAATTCTCAAAACACTGATGATGTTACGAATGTATTTTCCCAATGTAAAATGTTTATTCTGTAATTTGACCATCATACATTGTTAATTTTGGAGCTTCTTAAGTTGGGATTTTTATGGTTAGTATTTATTTTATACTCACTTTTTTTTTCAGTAATGTTTCCCAAGATCTCTCAGAGACAATTTTAACAATGATGGGAAACTGTGGTACTCTTTTAAATAAACCAAGACAGCCTCCTCCTGGAGTTGTAAAAACTCCTCGTGGCCTAGAACCAGCTTTTTCAGCTGCAGCAATGGGAGGATCAGCTAGTCCTGTAAGCATTTTTCTTTTTTTTTTTCTCTCTATTTGTATGAATAACTTTGAATATTATCATGATTATTAGTAAAGGACAGAATGGTTACATTATTCCATCATTTATTCTCTTCGGTATATTTTACAAACTAAAGAAAAAATGATTGATGAATTTATTAAAGGAAGATGTAAATGGTCATAATAATACTTTTTAGTAAGTAGTGTTACTAAAGGATTAACAAAGTATTGTTTATAAATACAGCTGGATGCCTTAGGTGGTCTTAGTACATCAATGGGAAGTCTTTCTTTGGGAGGTGCTACCAATGTTGCTAGCAATAACACTCCAGGCTTTCCTCTCAGTGCTGGCTTAAGCTCCTTCTCTACTGCTACACCAGGCTCTCCAGCAAAGTTGTTCCCAGCTCCAACTCCTGCTGCTCCAATTGGTCCATCTCTGAGTCAAAATCCCTTTTCTAGCATTATCCCATCATTACAATCTCAGTTACCTGGACAGTTTGGTTCAAGTTTGAGTAAGTAGATTCTCTGCATTCAATGTTTTGTCTTTTATAGTTGCTGTGTTAGTGGAAAGCTTTAAAAACTTATTCTAGCACAAAACCATCTTTACAGCTTTTACTTTTTTGACACTAAATTTCAAGCTTTTTTAACACCCAGTCTGTAAGTCAATGAGATCAAATTTAGGGGATTGGGTGGATTTTGAAGGTTTGGGATATCTAAGTTAAAAGCCTTGCACTTGTTACAGGTGCTGTTTGATTAC